CCTTGTAACCATCAAAGAATGTTTTCTTCTGTGTTTAAACCTTTTCTTGAGTTCTTATAATTCTGGTCTTATACAGTATTTGTCCTTCTGTGACTGACTAAATTCACTCAGCATAATGACCTCCAGATTCCTCCATGTTATAAGATGTTTCACAGCTTCATCACTGTTCTTTATCATTGCGTAGTATTCCATTGTGTGGATATACCATAATTTGTTTATCCATTTGTCCGATGATGGACACTAAGGTTGTTTCCATCTTTTTGCTGTTGTGAACAGTGCTGCAGTGAACATGGGTGTGCATATATCTATCCATGTGATGGCTGTTATTTCTCTAGGATATATTCTAAGAAGCAGAATAGCTGGATAGTATGGTACTTCTAAGGTGTGTCTCTTGTAGACAGCATATTGATGGATTCTGTTTTTTATCCATTCCGTCACTGTCTGTCTCTTTAGGCCATTTACATTCAGCGTAATTATTGATAGGTATGAGTTTATCGCTGTCATTTTGTAGTGCTTTTTTTTTGTGGTGGTGACTTTTTCTTTGTTCCTCTTACTGTCTTGTGCTGAATTCCTTTTGTTTGTGGATTTTTTTTTCATTTCTTTTTTTTTTGTAGATTTTGTTTTTACTGAGACTTTTTTCTTCTTTATTTTGATGAGTAAGTTTTTTAACTTTCTTTGTGGTTACCTTGAAATTTACCCTTGTCTTCCTAGGTTTGAACCAGTGTATTATTACTTGGTATTGCCTTGCCTTCCTCTCCAGTAGAAGGTTCTATACCTACATCGTTTATTCCCACTTTTATTGTTCTGATGTTGTTGGTCCCTGTTGTAATTCTTTTGATTTTGGATAGTCCTTGAGAGTTCATTTCCTCGTTTGGTATCTGGCTGGTACTATCTTGCGTCCTAGATTCATTCTGTGGTCTGAAGTTTGTTCTCAGACCAAAGGACTCCCTTTAATAATTCTTGTAAGTTTGGTTTAGTTCTTACATAGTCTCTTAATTTCTGTTTATCTGGAAATGTCCTAATTTCACCATCATATTTGAATGAGAGTTTTGCAGAATATATTATTCTTGGTTGGCAATTTTTTTCTTTCAAAGTTTTATGTATGCCATCCCATTGCCTTCTTGCCTGCATGGTTTCTGCCAAATAATCTAAGCTTAGTCTTCCTGTTTCTCCTCTGTATGTGACTTTTTGTTTTCCTTGAGCTGCTCTCAGGATTCTTTGTCTTTGGTTTTAGTGAGTGTGATTATGATATGCCTTGGTGATTTTCTTTTCAGGTCTATCATATATGAGGTTCCTTGAGCTTCTTGGATAGTCAGCTTTTCATCTTTCATGATATTGGGGAAGTTTTCTGTCAGCAGTTCTTCAATGATCCTCTCTGTGTTTTCAGTTTTCTCCCCCTGTTCTGAACTCCGATCACTCCCAAATTTTTGCTTTTGATGGTATCCCACATAATTCTCAGGGTTTCTGCGTTTTTCTTTGTTTTCTTTTCTGATTTTTCTCAGAGTTGTAGCCAAGTGTTTGTCTTCAATTTCTCTGATCCTGTCTTCCATCATTTCAAACTTTCTCCTCAGCTCTTCTATGACACTGTCCATTTCTGAAATCTTGTTGCTCATCTTTTGGATTTCCAGTTGTTGTTGTTGTATGATTTCTTGTTGTGAATTTATTTTGGCATTTTTTCTTATATTATTTTCCTGAATGCTTCCATTTTTTGTCTGTATTTTCCATGTATTTGTCTGCCTTTTCCATGAATTTGTCTATTTTTTCCTCAGTTTTGTCTGCTTTTTGCTTCAACTGTTTGATAGCTCTGAATATTAGAGATTTGGGTTCCCTCTTAGATAGTTCTAGTAGCTTTTTTCTACTGGAATGTCATCTGGTGTTTTATTTTGGATGTCTACTGGAACCGTCTTGTCTTATTTTTTATATGTTTTGATATTGTCTGCTGTCTTCAGGACATTCAGTAGTTATTTTCCTTATTTATTGATTGCAGATTTGTTTGTTTCATCTTGCTTTTTTGTTTTATTTGGTTATTTCTGAGCAGACCTGCTATGCATTCTTTGTTCTTTGCTCGTCTGTAAGCATGATACTTTTCACCTCCTTGTACAATTGATAGGGTCAGTCACTGCACTGTGGTGCAGCAGGGCAGGTCCAGCAGAAGGAGAGTTGCTGGGATGGGTTGTTTGTGGCACGTGCTAGGGTTGACGGGGTGGGCTGGAAATCAGTGCACGGCAGGTTCTGGTAGGCTGTGACTATGCTCTTCAGAGATGTGATGTTCAGCCCATGGTGCAGGTAGGCAGGAAGGAGGGGGCAGAATGTGATTTGTGGAGCTAAGATGGATATGCAAAGAGGAGAGAGAAACAGGAGCCAAAAACAAATAAAGAAACAAACAAAAAAGAGTGCTAAGGGAGCTTGCCATTGGAGTGGAGAGATGAGAGACCGAGAAATGGAGAGAAACAAAAAGGGGGAAAAAAAGGAAAAGGGTAAAAGAAAATAAATAAATAAATAAATAAATAAATAAAAATTAGGAAAAAAAAACAAAACAAAAGAAAAGAAAAGCCCTCATGGATTCCAGCAGTGCGGCTGTCAGGACTGGGGAAGTGGCTGCTAGGCTGCAAAGTACAGCCTGGCTAGAAGGTGTAGAGGTGTCACACAGTGCCAGGTATTCAGAAGACAGGAAGTATAGAGAGACAAGAAACTGAGAAATGAAGAAAGAAAAAAAGAAAAGAAAACAAACAAAAAATTCAAAAAAACAACAAAACAAACAAAAAAAAAAAGAAAAGCCCCCAGGGATCCCACTTCGAGTCTGAAGACTGAGGGAGTAGCTCCCACGCCTCACAGTACTACCCAGCTAGAAGGGGCTCCCAAGTCGAGAAAAGAAAAAGAAAACAAAGAGACAAATCAAAACAGAACAAATCATAACAAACAAACAAACAAAGCCCCAGGGATCCCACCAGCGTCGCGGGGCAGGCCGGGAAGCAGTTCCACAGTCAAGCTTCAGGCAGAAGCAAAGATGGCAGATGGAGCCAGGTATTTGAGAGAAAGGAGGGGAAGGTGGTGTGAGATATGGAAGAAACCAAAAGAAGCAGAAAAAAGCAACAGCAGTAACAAACAAATGGCACTCAAAGAGCTGGCCAGTGTGGGCGAGTGATGGGATTATACTGATGAGGTTTACAAGATTAGATAGTGCCTTAATGCAATCTCTTTTGAGATATAAAAGAGAGAAGCGAGCAGAGACACATGGGAACCTCATATCACCAAGAAAGCAGTGCCGGGAGCAGAGCGTGTCCTTTGGACCTGAGGTTCCTGCACTGAGATGCTCCCAGACCAAGGGAAGACTGATGCATCACAAGGAACTTCCAGACCAAGGGAAGATTGATGACACAGACCTTCCTCCAGAGCTAATGGAGAAAGCATTCCCCTGGAGCTGATGCCCTGAATTTGGACTTGTAGCCTGCTGGACTATGAAAGAATAAACTTCTCTTTGTTAAAGCCATCCACTTGTGGTATTTCTGTTAGAGCAGCACTAGATGACTAAGACAGGTGTTTTCCAAGAAAAGCTGAAAGTTCAGTTGTAAACACGAAATCTCATCATTTTAACTCTTGGATGCGGATCTAGACTTGAAAAATCCTGTTTGGGCCAAAGCAAACACATCTGTGGCAGACTCAGCTGCAGGTGGACGGTTCTGACCTCTGTCTTGGACTTTGGGTTCCTGAGAGGAGAAGGGGTAGCACTTTTCCATGTTTGGTCATCATCTTGGTGTTCTCCCAGGGCCATGCCCAGGCCCACAGCTGCACTGGAACTCCTCAGGCCGCTCTGGATGGGTTTGACTTTTCTGGAAGGGAAGAGGGGTGGGGGTGGGGATGACCCAGGTAGAGCCCTTTCGCCAAATGGGGCTCAGCACTGTCCAGGGCATCTGCAACACAGGGAGGGGTCTTAGTTGTTTATGATAGAGACGTTTGCAGGCTGACTGGAGAAGGGGAGCCATTCGTGCCTTTGTGACTTTCCATGGGCTGTTCCCTGCACTGGGGATACTGTTCCACCTGGTGAACTCCTACACAGTCCGTGAGACCCAGCCACCATGGCTCCTCCTCTAGACAGCCTCTATCCTTTCTTCTTGGGGCTCCAGTGGCTGAAATCTGGGTCGTACTATCTGTGCCCCTTTCACACTTAACTGTGGACCCTGTGGGTGCGGAATATGTGGGCTGCAGTGAAGGCAGTGCTAGGGCCAGCTGGACCTTGATTTTGGCTGATTCTCACATCAAGCATGTGCAGTGCCATGCTTTCACTTCTAGGGTGAGGAAGCCCAGGCACTGAGCCAGGAGGGGTTCACCTGAGATGTTCCTGCCCAGTGGCCTGGCCTCAGGTGGAGGCACTGGGCAGATGGGGGGCCTTTAGGGCCACTGGTCTGTCCCCTCCAGCTGGGCCAGTGTTCAAGCTGAGCACCCAGCTGGAGGGCTGGGCAGGGTCCTCTGGGCCCTCCTCAGCCAGGTGGGAGGTACATGGTGGGTGGGGTACTCTTGTGTCCCTCCTCAGTTAGCCTTACACTGGGATCTGAACTGTCTCCTCTTTGCCCCCACAGGCTGGCCTGATCCGGATAGAGGAGGAGGAGTTCTTCATTGAGCCCCTGGAGAAGGGACTGGCAGCACAGGAGGGCGAGCAAGGCCGCGTGCATGTGCTGTATCGCCGCCCGCCCACCCTGGGACCCCCTCCTCCAGGAGCGCCACAGGCCCTGGACACAGGTGAGGCTGCTGCAGGTGGGCAGCTGAGTCGGGAGCCCTGGGGTCTGCCTGGCTGTCTGAGTCCCTGGCCCAGGGGAGCATCTTCTCCTGGGCCATGTTTTGGCTGGCAGTGGCCTGGCACCACACGGCACAGTGGGGTGCTGGGGCAGGGTGCTGTGTATGAGCACACTTGGTGACTAGCAGCTTCCCGAGGGCTGGCAAGTAGAGGATCAGGGGCAGCCCCAACCAGGCCTGTGCTCCAGCTGGAGTCCTGTGGCTGCATCTCTGAATCTCAGCTTCTAAAGAAGACACCCCCTTCCCCTCACAGCCTTTCTCTCCTGGCCTCTGTGCTGCCATGTTTGTGCAAACATGCTGCCGCAGGACCTGCCCCTTCCTCCCTGGCTGCTCCTTTCTCACCCACCCTGTGTGGACCCTGCTCCCCTGGAGATAAGCCAGATCCCAGGAAGGGAGGGGAGGGTGCTGCAGAGGCCCTGAAGCTTCCTCAGCAACCTTGCCATCCTCAGCACAGACTCATGGTTTTCTCTTCTTCAACTTAGAGCAGAACTGTGTTCTGGGCCCAGGAATGCATGGAAGGAGTGGCTGGGGCTGCAGCCTCTCCAGGCCCTCTAGGGGGATGGCCTAACTTTACCCACCCAAGCCTTCCCAGCAGTCTGTGGATCTCGGGGCCTGGGTTGCAGTGAGGCCAGGGCAGGGTCCCAGAATGGGAAGGAGGCCTCCTAGCCTCTGCTGCTCCTCCCATGCTTGGTAGGAGGGCTTTCTGCTTGCAGAATGGGCTGTGTGTGTGGCAGAAAAGGTCCCCAGCCAGTGCTGGACCCCTGGCCTTTGCTCAGGCGCGTCCGTGTGTTCACTGTGAGTTCTCTGGGGACCCCAGGCTGAGCCCACCCTGCTGGCGTGTTGATTTACCGAGCTATTCCAATCACTCCAAAGAAAGCCTTGCTCATTTATTTTAGGTTCTCCGACTTCCCAGCTTGACAGATAAATTGGGTGCAGGCTGGCAGGGCACCATTCTAATTTAAAGAAACGGTGTCAGATACCTTTGCAAAGAGATTGTTCCATCAGAAGCCCAGCGCTTTCAGGAGCCAATCAATACTTCCTCAGCCCCTCCTCCCCTGTGATGCATCACTGTGGCCTGGGCTGTAGACAGCAGCCCTCCAGGCATGGCTGCTTCCTCTTCTGCTGAGGCTGGCCTAGCTGTCCTGCCTGGGCTTTGCCCAGCCCCTATCACTCCTAGCCTGTTCACCTCCATGGGTTTTTCTGCAAGAGGAGCGTCACCCTGTAGGGCAAGAGTAACACCTGGGGTAAGGCAGTGCCCCAGGCCTGGATCAGAGCTCCTGGCTCTGCTCCTGGCTACCCTGCCGCCCATGGGCAAGTCTGGACCTCTGGCCTCTGCTCTCCTCTCTGCTGAGTAGGGTAGAAACACCTGTTTCTCTGAGAGCTCCAAGAGGCAGGGCCTGCTTCTTGCTCAGATAAGAACCACTTGGTGCTTTGGGTTGGTGCCTCTGGGCTAATCTCTCTGGAAGACGCGGGGTGACCCTGGGATCTAGGCTGGCTCCTGGCTGTGTGTGGTGGAGCTGCACGGTGGGGCTGGCCAGTACCCCTGGCCATGTCTCTGACCCCGAATTCCACGTGATGCTGGTCTTCCTGGATGTGGCAGCCCTTCCTCCCTGGCCTGCTGGCCCTGCCTTGTGCTCTGGCTTCTGCTGGTGTTTTGGCACCTTTCACTGAATTCTTCTTCCCACCTCCTGCCCTGCCTTCATCTGACTATCTTTGCTGAGAGCCTGGAACTCAGAGCACAGGAAGGGAATTTCAAAATCTGAACACACCCAGAATCCACTAGCCTTAGAAGGTACTGGGCAAGGCCAGCAGCACAGGTTGGGGTGAAGCTGGACTAGAGGTGGCGTGGGCTGGGGGTGGACATTGGCGTGCAGTGGAGGTGAGCCTGTCCCAGTCTGAGCCCCAGCTGTGCCTAGAGTGCTCAGGCCCAGGCTGTGGGCCTTGGCTGTAGGCCCAGGGTGTTTCTGCCCAGTGCCAGCATGACCCTGCCTGAGTGACTTGAGGTCACAGAGTGCACATTTCTTTTGGATGTGCCTGATGGTTCCCGTATGCCCCAGAGCTGAGGCCAGCTCTGGCTGGAGGGGACCAGACACATTTCATGCTGGGGCTGGGCTAAAGGCCTGGGGTGACCTCAGATGGTCCAGCTTTCCATCAGCCTGGGCCTTGTCAGGCTTGGAGTGGCAGCTGGGAGACATGCAAAGGCTGTGGCCTGTGGTTGAACATGCTTGCTCTGTGCCCTTTTCCACAGGGGGGGCACAGAATCTAGGAGAGACCTTAGAGATGGCCGCGTTCAGAGGTTCCCAGGTTTGTGTGTGTGTGTGTGTGTGTGTGTGTGTATTTACACGTTTAGGTTAGGAGATCCTTTCTTCAGGAGAATTCGGGTGGGAATCCTGGTGTATCAGTGCGGCTCTGCTGAAGCAGGTAGGAGTTTCCTCCCCCAAGGAAACTTCTGGAAGCCAGTTTGAAACGGCCTCTTGTTTACTGAAGGAGTAATGGATGTGATGAGTCCCCTAGGGAAGGGGCAGGCCTGTCCTGGATCCTCCCAGGTTGGGGTCTGTTGGGTCTGTGGGGTTTCCTTGCTGCGTTGGCAGGGGCCTGTGGAGTGGCTGCGGCCCCCAGGCTCCTCGTAAAGGGTGCTGAGACACGTTTTTATGTTTTCCCTGAGAGGCAGGCAGGCTGCCTGGGGTATCCTCGGGGACTCGATTCACGGAGCCTCAGAGAATGGTTTTCATGAATAGTCTTTGTTATCTGGGGTCTATTCGGGGTTGCCCATTACCTGGGGGAAGGGATGAAGTGAAGGTTTTGCATGTTTCTCTGTCAACCCAGGTCAGGGTTGATATGTGGTCGTTGGGAGTGCAGCATGCAGTTCTGTTGACCTCAGGCCCTGACAGGCTGAGGCAGAGGAGGCGGGCCCTTTGTCTCCACATGGCCATGGAAGCGTCTCTGCTGAACCCTGCAGGGCCTGGGAGCATGGTGGGGCAGGAGGGAGAGCTTGCACCAGGACGCCTTTTGGGGAGAGGCACCCTCTGCCCTCTCTAGAGCCAGCCCTGTGCCCAGGGGCAATATGGCAGTGTGGATGCTGTGTAGCATTGGTCTCTGTGTGTGTCTGCATGTGCACCTGTGCATTCATGAACAGGGCTGAACCCCCAATCCTGGACCTTCCACAGCACTGGCTGTGTCTCTAGTCCCTGTCTGGGGCTGTTGACAAGGGAGCCAGGGCCCCGGGTGCAGGAGGAGGAGCCGTAAGCTCAGCTCTGTGGCTTGCAGCCCTGTGGTCTCGGGCACATCATTCCCAGTGGGTCTCAGGCTGCCGTGACAAACTCCCACAAACTTGGTGGCTTAAAACAACAGAAATTTATTCTGTCTCAGTATCACTGGGCTGGAATCAAGGTGTCAGGAGGGCCGTGCTCCCTCTGTAGGCTCCATTCCTTGCCTCTCTCAGCTTCTGGTGGCCTCCGAAGTTCCTGGACTTGTGGCCGCCTCCCTCCTGTCTCTGCCTCCGTAGTCACACCTCCTCCTCCTCTTCTCTCTGTAGTCCAATCTCCCTCTGCCTCCCTCTTATGAGGAAAACTGTGATTGCATTTAGGGCCCACCTGGATGGAGGTGGTGGGCCATAGGCTGCCGACATTTCTCACTCCTTCTCGAGGACGATGCTCAGGCAGCCCCCTTGCCCTCCTGCCTCTGAGCATGGGAGCTCGTTCCTGTGCACACCTGAGCTTGGTCTCAGCCAGGTGGGGTCAGACTGTGGGGCCCAGAGAGGCCAGGCAGTGGAGGGGCTGGGCTGGCCCCAGCACACTGCATGAGGCGGTCAGCCTTATTGTTGGCACCAAGGGCCTGGCTGCCTCAGCCTGCAAGGGGCAGCCTTGAACTCTGGAGACAGCAGCCTGAGCCTGTGGGGTGGGGGTGGGGGTGGGGCTCAGGCTTTGGAGGCATCTCCAGTGCACCACGTATCTGGTAATCAAAGAAGAAGTTTGCACAGGTTGGGACATATCCTTGAGCCATGCGCTGGGAATATCTCTGTCAGACACACGATGAGATTTGCAGAAAGGCCTGCCAGCCCAAGACGGGCTGCAAGCTCAGGGGCCTGCAGGGGTCAGGCAGGCAATGCCAATGAGTCCAGCTGGCAGAGGACAAGAAAAATAATTACACCCACCCTGTGGCCTGGCTTTCATTTTTCTACTTAAAAAAAATTATCATGGTAAGTATATATAAAAAAATGTGCCATTTTAACCACTTTAAGTGTTAATTCAGGGACATTAATTATAGTCACTATGTTGGACAACCATCACCACTATAGGTTTCCAAAAGTTTTACATCACCCCAAGCAGAAACTCAGTACCCTTTCAGCAGTAACTCCCATTGCCCTCTCCCACCTAGCCCTGGTCACCAGTAATAAACTTTGTTTTCTATGCATTTGCTTATTCCACATATTTCATATAAGCAGGATCATACAATATTTGTCCTTTTGTGTCTGACTTATTTCACTCAGCATAGTGATTTCAAGGTTCATCCATGTTGTGGCATGGATCAGGACTTCATTTTTCTTTATGGCTGAATAATATTCCATTGAGTGGATATACCCCGTTTTGTTTATCCATTCATCTGTTTATGGACACTTGGGTTGTTTCCACCTTTTGTCTATTGTGAATAATGCTGCATTGAACATGGATGTAGTGCACAGATGAACGTGTAGCTGTTTGACTCTCTTCTTTTGTATCTTTGGGTATATATGCCTAGGAGTGGCATTGCTGGTATTTCCCTGCTTTTGATATAGACGAGGACAGAGAATGCTTCTCTGCTAGAAGAACAGCGATGAGCATGTGGCGGAACATGGCTTCTGGTCATGGCTTTGCCAGAGGCTCAGGGTAGCCTAGGGACCGTCCAAAGGGCTAGCTGCTCCTTAGTGCCACTGACTTGTGGGAATGTGAGCCTAGGGCAGCCAGATC